GGGGTTTTGGGGGGCCTCCCCCCCCCGCCGCGGGGGTTTTTGGGGGGGGGGGGGGGGGGCCCCCGGGGGGGGGGGGGAAAAAGGGGGGGGTTTTCCCCCCGGGGTTTTTTTCCCGAAGGGGGGGGGCCGGTTTTTAGGGGAAAAAAGGTTTTCTTCCCCGGGGGGGGGGGGGGTTCCCCCCCCCCCTGGGGGGGGGAAAACCCCCTTTTTGTTTTAAAAACCCCCCTGTTTTTTTTTTTTTTTTGCCCCCCCCCCCCCCTGGGTTTTGTTGGGGGGGTTTCCCCTGTTTTTGTGTGGGTTTGAAAAAAAAAAAACGGCCCCCCCCCCCCCCCCCCCCCCCCCCCCGCGCGCGCGCGAATCGTGAGTTTCTGTGCTTGCCCCGCCAACTTCCATGTCGGTGTTTTCCCGTCGCAGCGGCAACCCCTTCTTGTTGCTGCCGCTGCAGCTGCATAAATCAGGTGTCGAAGAACGCGTCGATACCTTGCTTGAACCATGTCGTCCGTTCATCGCTTGTTTTTTTTTTTTTTCTGTTGTGACGGCGGTGGTGTCGCAACATGGATGGCCAGGTGTGCGGGTACATCGGGAAGGCGGCCTTCAGCACGGCGCTGGAGTGCCGCGACTTGCGACGAGAGCGGGGCCGTGACGCAGTGTGCCTGAAGGTGATCAAGAACAACAAGGACTTCTTCGACCAGAGCCTCGACGAGATCAAGCTCCTGCACCGGATAAAGGCCGGAGGTGACCCGGTGAGGAGCAACCGGGCTGGAACAGATGGAAATACAAATGATTTCGTACGAAACATTTTCTTGGAAGTACAAATGATTTCGTAGGAAACATTTTCTTGGACGTGTTGCGCTTTCGTTTTTTACCTCTCCGGGGTGTGCCATGCATTGAGTATTGTCTCTCATACTCCGTACAAACGTTCTTTCTTAAAGAAAGGAGGAATGGAACACAATAAGCAGCCTCACGAATGCCCCCGACGCATATTGTTGCCACACATGCTGATCGAACGCCTGGAGTTACCCTCGGCTGTAAACTATCTATGTAGCATCTCAGTTGCCACGGCTCCCTTTGTGGTATCTGTTGTAGGGATGCGCGCATTTTTTGCTTGCCTTTTCCTTCCTTTTTCCTCCTACTTTCTCAAGCCAAAGCACGACAACGCACTGCTGTGTTCTGACGCAACCCCGCGCAGAATAAGCACCACGTGCTGCACATGCTTAACTACCGCTGTGTGCTGAAACGACCCCCCGTACAGGATGAGCACCACGTGCTTCACATGTTCGACTTCTTCTACTATGAGGAACACCTGGTGATCGTCAGCGAGCTGCTCGGGGACAACCTGTACGAGTTTTCCAAGGCGGTGAAGGAGGCCGGACACCCGGAGTACTTCACGCTCCCTCGTCTCTGCAAGATCACCAGGCAGTGCCTAGAGGTGTGTGTGTGTGTGTGTGTGTGTGTGGCAGATAGAGACGGAGGACAGGAGGCCCTTCATACCCCCCTTTTGCAGCATGCGTGTGTGTGGCACATAGAGACGGAGGACAGGAGGCCCTTCATACCCCCCTTTTGCAGCGTGCGTGTGTGTGGCACATAGAGACAGAGGGCAGGAGGCCCTGGATACCCCCTTTTGCAGCAAAAACACTTGAACCCCCCCCCGTCGGAACCTGCCGTGCTCCGTCCCGGCTTTGCGGGGATGCGAGGTCAATGGCCTAACGACTACGGCATGCACGGCTATGAGTACATCCCCCCCTCCCCCCCTGACTTCTTTGGAGCCAACCTAGCTAGAGGTGTGCGCGATCGCTGCGCACCCTTTCCTCGTGCACTGCAAAATAGATTTATGAAGAATTTTTCTTTGCCTCGGTTTCCACCATCTGTTGGCGTTTGCAGGCGCTGTCGTACATCAACTCGCTGGGGCTTGTCCACTGCGACGTGAAGCCGGAGAACATCCTGCTCTCGCACTACGGTAGGGCGGAGGTCAAGCTCATCGACTTCGGGTCTTCCTGCTTCGTCACCGACCGACTGACGACCTACACTCAAAGCCGGTGCGGGCATCACTTTGGTGTGATCCCTACTCTCTGGCCTGGCTGCCTGCTTTTGCGTGGTTCTCGTGCCTGTTGCATCACCGCTCTGTCGCCGCTCCTGTGTTTCTGTTCTGCTCCTTCCTCTCTCTCCCTCTCTCTCCCTCTCTCTCTCTCGATTCGTCGTTTATTTCCTTTTTTTGTCTTAGGGTCACTCGAGCGTTGTACGACGGTTTCGAGACTCGCTCCTGAGTGATACGGTGCTCATCTGTAGAATGCCTACCTTTGTCATTGGAACATGCCGTAGCGTGCTTGCTCGCTTGGGCGTGATTCCACGCTTCCCCCGCCGTCTGCTCATGCGTGTCTGTTTTCCGCACGTCTGGTTCGTAGGTCCTACCGAGCTCCCGAGGTGATAGTCGGCCTCCCCTACGGTGCCAAGGTTGACGTGGTGAGTGACGCAGTCCTTCGTGTTCTCGTCGGTAGCCTTCGCGATAATATTCATGTTGGTTTTAGTAGGGGGTACGGGGGTTGGGGGCTAGGGATAGGGGTGCGAACCCCCCCCTCCCTATTTTATAGATAAATTGTTAGTACAATCCTCGCGAAGGTGGTCCGTTCTCGTCGTCGTTCTTTTGGTCTGTTCGTTGCCTTGTCGTTGTTCCTGGTTGTCCCGGTAGGGGTAGGTAGATAGATGGTTGCTGGAGGGCTGTTGCCGGTGGTAGTGCCGTCCGTGGCAGAACGTCAGCAGGCCCGTGCAATCTCGACGAAGGCAGTACGCCCCCCCCCCGGGGGGTGCTCGCCCCGTACACCTAGTTGTATCTGTGTCTCTTACATCCTCAGTTCGCTCTTGTCCTCCCCCTCCTATCCTTGTGAAACGTAACCTGAGCCGGGGAAAACCCGGCATATCGCTCCGTCCCGGCATTACAGGGATGCGAGGTCAACGGTCTAACGGCTACCGCATGCGTTTACATGAGTACCCCCCCCCCCCCTATCCTTCCTCCGCGACGAAAACCGTCATGTTGATTCCGACAGTGGTCTCTCGGGGCAGTGGTGGCGGAGCTGGTGACAGGACATGTGCTCCTCCAGAGCGAGTCTATCCAGGTAGGGCGCTCAGTTGGAAAGCGGGTCGATTGTCGTCTGCTGGACCGACCAGGGGACTGGCTGCGATGGGACCTTTTGCGGCTTTTTTTACAGACAGAGAGGGCGAGGAAACAAACAACACCTCGTGCCTCGCGCGGAGTCGTGCGTGGAGGGTAACACGGGGGGGAAACTTGTAAGCAGAAGGGACAAAGAGAAGGACGTCGGTGTTTGGTAGACATGCCGTGTGGGATCTGTGGAATAAAAGAGGGACTGTCGTTGTGGTTTCGAGGGGGCCCGGCGTGTGTTTTTCCATCGGACAAGAAGGGGGAGGCGGTAGCGCTCGAGGGGCCGCGGCGAAGCATTCGCGGGTTTCGCCGAGGAAGCGGCGGGGATGCAGGGAAACGGGATCGAACCGGTAGATGATCGTCAAGCTCGGTGCAGCGAGGGAGGCATGTGATGTGGCCGGTTGTCACACCGTGTTGAAGCCGCCTCTCTACCGCCGTGTTTTAGTTTTAGTTTTTATGTCTGTGCAAGCACCGGAAGACAAGACAAGCCTCTCTTTTCTTTTTTCGTCCCTCGATCCGGATCGGATGTGCTCTGACCAAGGCCGGAAGTTTTGGAAGAAGCTGTGCGCCGCGTACGACGCGTCACAGCGGTCATAATTATGATTCGAATGCATGGGTACTTTGTGACTTGACCTCTGGTGCCCTCCTTGTTATTTCCGCCCCCCCCCCCGGTAGACTATGCTTGCGCGCATCCAGGGTATCGCCGGGCCCTTTCCTCGCTGGATGTTGGTTGAGGGAGAAGAGGCGACCAAGTACTTCACCCCAGAGGGCTACGTGTACCAGAGGATGGACGAAGGTTCATGTGAGACTTACACGAGGCTGCCGACCTGCTCTAGTGTCACCATCCATCAAGTCTATACCGCTAGGCTCGTATGTATCCCCGGGGCCCCTTTTGAGAGTCAAACCCAAACGATGGGTCGTTTGTTGGTAGCTTTCCGTCTCCGTTTTTATTGAAGTGTCAATGTGTCAATATACCGCTGCGTGTGTTATTAGGGTGGAGCGACAACTAGTGCAGTGTGACCGGAAGTGGGGTTGTCGAGGCCCTTGTTGGATGTTTTGGGAGAGTTGCCATCCCACGGAAGTACACACGAGATTGGCAAGCTCTCTTTGGTGATGTTGTCCTGCTGCCAAGAGAGGCCTTTATGGTCCATCGACGTACGTTACCGTGAGCTGCAAGGAGTCACTCAATCGACATACCCCCTTCGCAAGGGTTTTTTTCCGACAAGGGTTACTACCATGGACGTCACACATCCCCCCCGCCCTCGCTTCTGTGGACTGAGAGATTGCGGTCGCAGTTGACATTTGAGTATACCTCCCCCCCCTCCTTTTTCGTCCGCCCCTCGCGTCGCCCCCGATTAAACCGGCAAGACCGAGGTTCAGGGCCTCGAGATTCCTCGAGGTTCCTTTGGGGAACAATGCTCCGTCTTCGAAACCTTGAGTATAACCCCCCCCCCCCC